ACATAAATTGTGGGCCGGTCGTGATACCAAGCGGATCATGAGAACGCTCCTACTAAAACCATCGTTTGGAGTCTGCACAACTCGAAAGTAAAAGACATAACTACAAAATTACCCATCATTACCTCACCCCCCCCCCCCACCCTCCTCCCAGCAAACGGCACATTTTCATCAGTCAGTTTATTTGCATTTGGTGCTGAATCCATTGATGCAAGTGTTTCTTTTTCCACGGTATACAATTTTTTAATTCAGGTACAGGAATTCATCCTTTATTTGGTAATTTCCTATTTCTTATAAAAAAAAAAAAATAATGACTTGGAAAGGTAGATGGTAAAGATTCTTATTAAAAATAAGTGTGAGTACCGATTCGTCAGGTCCTCAAATGAGACGCATATTGTAGAGAATTGCATATATTTTTTTGCGTATCATTAAATTTTTTTGAGCAACTGTACAAATATATGTAGTTTTCGGTTTTCTTGATTTTTCGGTTTCACATTTAATGATTGGACCCACAATTTTTTGCGAGCTGTAGACGTTTTAGTGGTCCAACCTATCCCATGTTTTAGAATTATGGTTTTCTAATAAAAGAGAGAGTAAAAACTAAATTTCATCGGAATCGGATAAAAACTAATGTTTTCGCCCGCAAGAGTGGAGGGCGTGGTAATTATCTTCTAATTACAAAATTTCCTTATTCCTAAGTAAAATTGGAGCACATGTCAAGTTTCAGCGAATTCAGAGTACACTCTAAAAAGTGCATGTAAAACTACTACTGAAAAGTGTTTATTTTTCAACCAGAATCTGTTCAAGTATACGCACAAGATGTTCAAGATTTGGTTTTGAACATGAGTTGTTTAAAATATACACATGAAATGTTTAAAATTACAAACATTTTGAAAGTAAAAATATATTTTTTACAATTAATAAATACTAAGTGCCAGGGGCGCACGCAGGAATATATTTTTGGGGGGAAAGGGTTTATACTTCTAAATATATGTCATCAGCAAATACTGAAAATTCGCTCTTTAAAATACATTTATGAAAGTTTTATTTACAGTATGAAATAAATAAATAAACTTTTTAAGTATCATCAATTGCATTTTATTTACATAAAATTTACAAAGAACTCAGACTATTTAAAACCGGCTTCAAAAAAGGGGAGGTTATCAATTCTTCGGAGTATTTTTACTTCTTTAATTTATTCCACCGCATAACTTTGCACCGCGTGAACCGATTCCAATAATTATTTTTTTTTACGGGAAAGATGGTACCTTAAGGGTCGTCTCGTAATTTGGTTTAGATCCGATCATTAAATCATGAAAAAATTAACGGTTAAGGATGCACTCAACTTTCAAAAGTAATACAAAATTTTACAAAAAAATTCTAATATAAATAAATTAAATAACTTCACTAAATTTTTACACTTTTTTATTCATTTTCGTCGATTTCTGGTTTCTCATTTTTTAATACTTCGAATAACGAAAATTTAACTGAACTTGTATTTTTATCATGTAGCTCATTTTGGTGGAACGAATTCGAAGTTAGCAAATTAAATCTTCGAATGCTTATTAAGTACATATCAGTGGTAAACATTTTTAGCCTGTAAAGTGTAAAAACCAACAGTAAGTGAGTATGCATTGCATATTTTTAGGACAATGCTTTCATTCGCAGTTAAACTTTAAAGAGCTCTCAAGAAAAAAGAAAAATTCTTACAAAATGACGCACTAGAAATGGAAAAGAAAATTTTTTCTATCAAAATTTCTTATATCATAATAAATTTACCCCCAAAACCCATCCCTTGTGTGCGCTACGTGACAAATATGATATGTAAAAGTAAACAGACAGTGTTTAATTTTGCACACACTAGGAGAGGAAACTGGTTACCTCTCTTTATATGCGTAAATTTAAACGAAAATTTTTTAGAGGAAATTTTAAACATTTTATGTGTAAACTGTGAAAATGTGAACAATAAATGTTTAAAACTCAAAAAACAAATTTGAAATTTGTCCTACGCCACACATATGATAAGTAAAAGTAAGCAAGCAGTGTTTAAATTTGCATTCATTAAGAGAGGAAACTGGTTACCTATCTTAATATGCGCAAATTTAAACAAAAATTTCTTAGAGTGTAGGCTAACTACTATTTCCACCTGCCTCCATATAGTCGAAAAATGTGATGCGTCTCAGAAAAATGTGATCCGCTTCCCGAATTCTCAACCAAAGTCATAATGTCGGCGGTTAAACAGGCAAAAGGCAGAAGATACTCAGAAACTCAACGAATCTACAATGAAAGGTCTTACATTCCATTGTACCATAGCACCAATGACCCAACGATGGCCTATACATGTCAAAAAGTGCTCTGTGAAGGAAAAGACATGAGCTTAAATTTCCCCAAAAGCCTGGAAAGGATTGCGATAGACTTCCTCAATTCCATTTGACTCAGCGGGATGTAGCCTTCATTACTCTTTATTTTCTCTTTGGAAAAGGAAATTGGCTAGAGAAATATCCCTACTCCTGCCACTCACTCACAGATGGCATTTATTCATACCGAACTACTACTGTTCGGGGTGAAGATATGGAACTCTTAACACACGCCCCTTAACTTAACCTTGCACTGCTACTTTTCACAAACTTTCAATGGAACGAATCCTAAACCGTACTTAGAAATTGTTCCGTAAAACTTTACAGCTTATTTTGCACGCTCAGCAAAAACCCGAACTCATCAAACTGTAGATACATTAGAGCCACGTTCACATGTACACAGAATTAAACTAAGCATTCACGAGCACGAGAATACCCGTTTTCTAAGTAATTACAGTTGTAGATTTGCAACTCGTTCATTTCCCATCCAACAACCAAGTACTGCCGCCTGTCAACAACAGTACGGTAAACCGCGCATTCACCCTTAAGGCGTGGTGAGTGACTTTGGAATTCGTTATAAACTTTCCAACACTTTCCAAGAAAGGTCCAAAAATACGCACACATATTTCATTGAGAAGTGTGTATGTAGGCATGTAAATTATGTACAAAGCTCTGCATAGCTGGCATTAGCAGCCGCCAACAGAACAGCTGGGCATACGCCTAGGAGTACTAATAAACAAAGTATGTACTTACATACGGCGGGCGATACGTCAAGAGCAGTTTATTCTTGGTTACAAGGCTCTGCTTGCCTGAAGGTTTGTGTCAGGTGCTACATTCGACTGTGGATAGCCAAAGATATGTGTTGTTTTGTTGTTGCGGAAGATACCGAAGGTGGTTATGCACAGTTGCAAGCAAATTCAGAGGTTTTTTCTGAGTACACATATAGCGGATTATGGCAAACGATTCTACGTTTAACTTCAGACATACTTACATTCTTACAATTCCAATTTATCTATTTAGGTACTTGCGAAACTTTTTCTTAAGCTTTATTTTATGCGTAAAGTGAGCAAATAATTATATTTTTTGTATGTTGGCAACTTTTTTAGGCCAGAGAAATTAATTTGAAGAATGGAGAAAATATTTTTCATCAAAACCAACATATTAGAGGGTACATAAATTCTCACACACATACGTACATATATATATGTATACTACATATGAATTAGAAATATTATACGCTCATAAGCAAGCTAAGCCACATCTCTTTAGCTACTCAACTCACCCGGCTACCTTAAGTGCTTAACAGTTGCTTTTTTTCCTAATCCTTGGACATTTACGAACTTTGCTTAATTAGATTTGTTTCCAGCTAACTTTTTTCAAAACGCAAATATATCATGTATGTATGTATTTATGTACATTAGCGTGGGCCGAAAATCCGCGTTTCTAGAATTTTGATGGCTTATAACTTAACAACATTTGGGGTGTTCACACTTGCCTGGTTATTTGGTTATCTGCGAAAAAAAATTATTATTCTGTAGTGTATGTTATTGTTGTAAACTGAATAAAAAATACAACCACATAACCAGTTAACCTGATAACCAGGCAAGCGTGAACAACCCAATTTTGTTTGAAAATTTACCATTTTTGGTCAATATCTTAGACTCGCCCAAGTCCATCAAAGTTCAAGTGCTAAAAAATTGTTTCTTAGCTTACTTTGATTAAATTTCACGAAAGCAGTTTAGGTAAAATATGATTTTAATTTGTTTTCATTCTATATGAAAATGGACAGAAAAAAAATCATTTTCCATTTAAATTGCTAGTGAAACAGGCTGTAATACTTTCGAAGATAATTGCATTTTTAGCAAAAAAAAAAACTTTATTAAATAATGTGTTTATTATTTTTGATTTATTTTTTTTTAGCACATTGATCTTTGGTGGACTTGGACAAGCCTAAAATATTCACCAAAAATTTTCATCTTTCACACGGACTGCCTTTAGAACATTATAGTAATGAACCATATTTTTGCTATTAGCAATCACAATTCTAAAAACGCGGATTTTCGGCACACGCCAATGTACATACATACATATGCATATGTGTTTGTAAAATGTTGGATATACTCAAGTTAATCGTCTTTTTGTTTACGCATTAAAAAAGTTTTGTGTGCGAAAAGCAGGCACTTGACAACGCTTTATATGCTTAAAGCTCATCAGCATACATGCATGTACTTACATATGTTTATGTCAGCCAAATCTTTACACATCTGAGTAAGTGTAAGGATATACATACATTCGCACGTAAATATATTTGGCTTCTGTGGCAACTGCTAATAAGTACATACATACGTACATATATATGCAGCTACATACTAGTAGGCGCATCAAATATTGAGCTGTTTTAAACATTAAGTAAAATTTAATTACAATATAAGATGTTGACTGGTTAAGGTATGTATGTATGTACATATGTGCACATAGCCTCCTCACGGTTTATACAACGAAAGCTCTGTTGTGCTCTCCAAGCGCATTTTTAATTTGATTGATTTCAGAATCCCAACCAAACTTGTCGTTGGCTGAATGTTTATACATATGTAAGTGGTAGAAGATTCAATATTGAGATTGCAAATAATTTTATTATAGCAATAGTCAACTAAGGGAAGGAATGAAGATGAATGCGAAGACGAATACGAAATTGAACATGAAGACCAACACGAAGACGAAGACGAATACGAGGGCGAATACGACTACGAACTCGAATACGAAGACGGAAACAAAAAAAAAAAAGAAGACGAATACTTAGGCTAAGCCGAACATAAACACGAGGACAAAGAATTACGAAGACGAGCACGCAGACAAATACGACCACGGGTAGGAACCCGATGATGACCACATATGCAGAAAATAATACGAAGAAAAATACGAATGGAATCCCGAAGCCGAATGCGGAGATGAGGATTTAGAAGAACCCGAATACGAATACGAACAGATACCATTACTATTACCGTTACCATTAACATTGCCATCGCCATTGCACTACCATTACCATTAACACTATTTTAAATATTACCATCATCATTAGCATTATCATTACCAATACCAATTGGAATTACAAATATTATTAGCTGATGGCATATATGATTACAGTTAATGTGGGTCTGCTTCTCTGTTTCTAATAACACAGGCCTGCAAAATTTGTCTTAGTTTCCCTGCTCCAATAATTATGTTATTTTTTCATATCTAGGTATGCTAAATTAAAATACAGCATTGTTTTTTTCTAGCACATCGATATTTGTCTATATATAGAGTTTTTAATAAAAGCCAAAATTTAGTCAACCCAAAATTTTATTTTTATTAAAAAAAATACCAGCACTACTTACTTACTTAAAAATACCCCTAAAGACTAAATAAATGAGAAAAACTTTTGGAAATACGAAGTTAACGCCAGTAGACAATGCGCTGTAACACTATGGAAAATGAAAGATATTCTGCCTTATCCTGAATTTCACCCGAAAAAAATTTACCCGAAAATTTTTATTTCGCCCTTAGTAAAAACATGGAAACCAGAAGTGAAAAGTGAACTGGATCGAGGAAAATGAAACTTGTGACAAGGCTGATTGTGCTTTAATAAGAAACCACTACAGACCTCTGTTATTCATATTTTGTGATTTGTATTGATTTTTTAAATACAATAAATATGTATGTATGTATGTACATACTTTAAGTACCTTTTGTCAAAATGAATAGTTTGTTGTAATTTATTTTTATTTTTTGTACTTATTGTTAATGTGCGTATAATTTGTTATTGTAATTTTTGTTTTTGTTCTGCCAACACCACCTTGTATAATAAATTCGCCTTGGACAAATCCTATATTGACGCCAGGAAAGGTGTGTAATAAGGAACGCCCCAACAAAAATCACGATTTTCTTGGAAACAAACGTGACATCGAAAGAAAATTAGCAAATGTTTTCTCTTTTGCTTCTAGAAAGCATTACTTTAATACTGGGCATGTCAATAACGATAAATGGCTTGCAGGCGACTTTGCATTCGCCGTAATGGATTAAAGAAACTAAAGGCAATTAAGACATTCCAAGCAAATACCTTCTAAAACACGCTTCCATATGCTTGAAATTTCGAAATCTCTTTAAAACAAATCATATGTCAGAGAGAAAAGCTAAAGACGCAGTTTTACTACATTTGGTCCAAAATGTATTCAACAATGTGTGATTGAACCATCAGAAGAACCATCCTATGAAGTCAAATTGAAAAAATTTGTTGTGAATTTTTAATGGCTTGTTTATATTTTTTGGCATAATAATATCTTAAAAGAGACCAGACCTGAGTTGCCAATCACTCCTTGTTTTTATACACCTTGATTTGGTGCCTAGTGTCGTGTCTTCATTGATTTTCTCTTATATTTGGAAATTTGGTTGGATCTTTGTCGTTCGATATAATGAATGTAATAATGAAGGCTTGAAAATAACAAACCAAGGCTTATTTAAGAGGCCGAAATTCGAAAAAAAAGTTCTTAAAACAGAAGAGCAGATTTGCACAGCAACACAAAGAGAAAACCACTCAGCCGGAAAAGCTGTACACACATAATTGCGAGCAGAGAGAAAAAAAGTTAAAATGCAACGGAAGGTAAATCCGGGCGGCGCATTTATTGAGGCTGAAGTCAAGCGGAAGGCAATTAATCATTAAAGTTAAGAATATTAAAAGCCTGCAAACAACAAAGGTAAATACTCAATGCCTGCACAAACACAAATACAAACGTGAACACAAAAAAAAAAATAAAAATAAACAAATAAATAAACACACAGCAACAACAATAGCAAGAAAATACGCAATTATGAAGAACATAGAGCTTCATTTTTCAACCGAACCAAACGAGGAATACGGGCGACTCAAAAAAAAACAAGAGAACAAATAAAAAACCAACAAAAATCTTTAATGAGAAACGGAAGTGCAGGCAGATGATGAAAGTATGCCAAGCACCTGGCAAAGGTATGAAAGTAGTAAAAGAAAAGAAGAAAATTGTAAAAAGTGCCAGTAAGCTCCAAAGTAGCAGAAAGAAATGTTGGAAGGATGAGTAGAAAGGTTAGAAAAATAACTGCCTTCATTTAATTTCCATTAACAAAGTCAAGTAGTGAAGAAAGGTTGCCAAGTCGCCAAACTGCAGAAAGAAAAAAAAA